GGGGGGGGGGGGGGAGGGAACCAAACCAGTTTTACTTAATGTCCTTGATGTCACAATAAAAAATTAATTTTATTAAGCCTCCACCCATGAACACATGTCTTTTTATATTCTGTAGAGAAAGAAAAGTACATACAACAGGCTTCAGTTGCATATTATGCCTGTCTAGAGGAAAAGTACCTTTGACTCAGTTATGAAATGATCTAGCCCATTTTTCACAGACCATCATTTTTACTTGCAAGACTGATAAACTATATTAACAACACTTGGGCATTTGACATACATTTTCTTCAAAATGAACAAAGTGAAGGGCGCCTGGGTGACCCAGTTGGTTAAACATCAGACTACTGATTTCTGCTCAGGTCACGATCTCACGGTTCGTGAGTTCAAGCCCCATATCAGGCTCTGCACTGACAGCATGGAGCCTGCTTGGGATTCTCTCTCTGCCCCTTCCCCATGCATGTGCCCAAGCACACTCTTTCTCAAATAAAATAAACTTAAAAAAATAATAAACAAGGGGCACCTGGGTGGCTCAGTCGGTTGAGCATCCAACTTCAGCTCAGGTCATGATCTCACAGCTGGTGAGTTGAAGCCCTGCATTGGGCTCTGTGTTGATAGCTCAGAGCCTGGAGCCTTCTTCAGATTCTGCGTCTCCCTCTCTTTCTCTCTGCCCTTCCCTGCTTGTGCTCTCTGTCTCACTTAAAAATAAATTTAAAAACATTAAAAAATAAATAAAAAGTAAACAATATGTACAAAGTGAGCTCTTGACTTCAAGAAAAACAACTGGCAGTATTTGTTGCCAGTGATAAACTTTTTTTTTTTTTTTGAGAAAGCAAGCGAGCACAAGTAGGGGAGGGGGAGAGAGAGAGAGAGAGTAAGAGAGAATTCCAAGCAGGCTCTGCTCTGTCAGCACAGAGCCCAATTTGGGGCTCAAAGTCATGAACCGTGAGATCATGATCTGAGCCAAAATCAAGAGTTGGCCGCTTAACTGAGCCACCCAGGTGCCCTGCCAGTGATGAATTTCTAATTGCTACTTAAAAACTCACATTTTGGAAAATGTGTATTCACTACAGTGAACTTGATAGCTTCCCAATCTTAAGACTTTTCTGATGAGATCAGGAATATTAACAAATGTGATATTTTCATATTGCATAATAAAATGTCAATATTTCGAAAATCAGCATAATTCAGTGATTATTTCCCAAATGACTAATGTACCATGTCATAAATTACACATGGGTAATGATTCATGATTCATTCAAAGTGCAAGGCAGACCAATCAATCAGGTTTCAGATTCCATTTTTACCAACTTTAAGAAACTATCACTTTTCGGGGCGCCTGGGTGGCGCAGTCGGTTAAGCGTCCGACTTCAGCCAGGTCATGATCTCGCGGTCCGGGAGTTCGAGCCCCGCATCGGGCTCTGGGCTGATGGCTCAGAGCCTGGAGCCTGTTTCTGATTCTGTGTCTCCCTCTCTCTCTCTGCCCCTCCCCCGTTCATGCTCTGTCTCTCTCTGTCCCAAAAAAATAAACGTTAAAAAAAAAATTAAAAAAAAAAAAAAAAAA